TTCGGCTGCCAAAGCTAAGTAATAATTTTTTAGATCTAACGGAATAAGCAAATAAACATTTGTCTAAAAAGTTGAGACTACAAAATCAAAATAAATTACGGAATCATTTCATTGCCAATTTTTTCACTTAGTTTTATTTGCATTTTTATATTTTTCCTCTTTAAAATCGTATTTAGAATAAAGGGTACTGTTTTATTTCTTTCCACACAATTTAATATTTCAATTTCTTCAAGTCTATTAACCAATTTTTAAACCTTGTTGGAAGTAATTTTTTTGCTCTGGAGGATACTCAAATCCTCTTCTAAAGGAACTAATGTTCTTCCAATTAATCCCATTTTATAAAAAACAATGTGTGCAGTGGATGGGAAAGTCGTTTTGCTTTGTATATTGGATCACTTTTATATCCGATTCACTTTTATTTATAATTTTTACGAAACGTTCTCGAAGCACTGCAACAGAATACTATTGCAGCTAGAAGGACTTGGCTTGTTTTTATACGCTTCTGCGCCGTACACGTTTGGTGCCGTTTTGCATTTCAATAGCGTTCTTTGTCGTACAATTAATAAATACGAAAGAGAAAGAACGTACATTGTCGCTAATTATCAGCTCTACTGTTATTACTGCCAGAAGAAAAGCCTGAAGTTCCTAAAAAATTCAAATTTTCTATTTTCAACGAAATGTACTAACGTTTTATCATTTGTTTGTCTGCTTTACCGCTTTAATTGAAAAAATGCAAGTCGCGCCGGAGAATGTAATTAGTACGGAAATTCCGCATATTCGGCTGCGAAATTATCAGTTGTCTGGTTATTTACAGTTAATGATATGCATTCGACGCTGTCTATAATACTCTATGATATAAGCAGAAAATTCCCTATATGGCGCTAAGTTTGAGAAGTCTTCTTTGAAAACAAATTTTTGTTTGGCTTTGCTGTTGAGGAAAGAAAAAACATTGCATATGCATAATTGAGTGAAGCATATACGATCATCGTTTTAACCTACATACACATTTACACAATTTCTCATATGCAATTAAAAACATTACAATCCTATGTTAAATTAAACCGAAACGAATAGCAAAGTATTACTGGAAAATACTCCAATTCATAACTATTTTTCCGCTCATTTCTAAAACTTACTGCAAAATTTACTATATCTGTAAAAAAAATCACTTTCCTATTAAACTTTAAAAAATTGTCTACTAGCATTTAAATTACAAAATATAGGAATTTGTTTTAGCATCATTTTTTTGTATAATATTATTATAATTGTTTGACTTATACTATTTAAAAATTACAAATAAGCTAAATTTATAATACCAGATAGTGAATCGTATCCACACATAGATGAGATATGTATAAACGTTAACCGTTACTAGATTCATTCGTACCTATTGAAAAGTTTTATTTTTGAAAATTGTTTAAAATTATCATAATTGAAAACGATTTCGTATTTGTTATATAAAATAATAATAATAATAAGGAAATAAATAACGATAAGAGAAGAAAACAATTTTGTTAATATTTCTTTGCAATAATTATTTATTGCAAATATACACGGAATATAAGGCAAAGAAAAAACGTTTATATAAATTTTATGTATACGACTATCAAAATTACATTATAAAAGCACAAAAAATATTAATATAGCTTCATAAATTTTTGAAATATATAATTGCAACTAATTACAATAGAAGATTAGCAACACTTTTCCATTTCTACAAAAAAATTTTCGTTTATAAATAATACAACTTATCAAACTACTACTTTAAAAGTTTAATTTTTATAAAATATTAACACGATATATAAAAATTAGCTGTCTTTATTAAATAAAAATACAGTTAGTTCAATATATAAGAGAAAAATTTTAATCTAACTCATGTAACTTACAAAATTTTATTTATACTATATTTATTATTTACTCATATTGGGTGAAAACAGTTTTTTAAGACTTTTAAAGAAATTAAATTTAACAAATCATAAAACCAATTGATGATAACCACTTTCATTTTGTAGTTGTTATTTATTGCACCTCATTAAGATATAAGACCACTGTAACAACCTAATATAAGGTATTGTTGAAAATTTTTTTAGAACACATGGAAAGGTAATAGATTTACTAATAGGTATCTTTTGGCATTTACAAATGCCAATTTGTATTATTTTATACTGATAGTTGGTCAAGCTGTTATGCCTTTGATAAGTTCAATGTCGATAATGATGCCTGCGACGGTCTCTGCTATATTGATGAAATTTCATGAATGTTCTACAGTAAATGCTAAATTAATACTGCCTTTAATTAAATACGCCTTCAATCAATACTAACCATTCATTTTTTCAATATAAACTGCAGATTGAGTTCTCATACCTTTTCGATGAAATTGTCAGAAAGGCCTAATAAAATGTAAAGTTCTCTCCTACTGTTGTGTGTAGCCTTCATTTGCTGAATTGCGGGGTTTGCAATAGCTATCTAATTTTTACATAGCCTTAAGGATACCGTTGATAACGATTGGAATTTAGCTGTGCAACTGATAAACGAGAAACGCACTATAATAAGTTAAAAAAGAAATTACCGCTTTTCTAACAAGAAACATTTAAAAAGTTTGTTGAAGTCAACTTATTCGAATTTTCTCTAGCCAATTATTTTTTATATCTATTGAAAGTTAAGTTTTCTTTACTAACTTCCTCAGGAGTCAAATAGTTGATGTATTTTGTCCATCATTTTCTTAAAGGAAGTCTCTTCCTAAATGTATATGTTAATTAACTTGAAACTTTCAACTTTCCTACAAGAAAACGAGAATTTTACTTCAAACTCTCAAATAAATTTCCTCACTTTATTGTTTTTTGATAGCACTGCTTGCAAATATTCCTTTCAGAACGTATAAATTTTGTAAAGTTGAGTCAATAATTTCAACCTAAATAGCGGCGTAAACCAGATTAGAGAAAGTGTTTTTATGTGCCTCTTGCGACTTGAGTGGTATTTCGGCTGCGTTCCGGCGAACATTAATTTATCGATGCTGTAATACGTGGGTTCCAATATCAGTCCCCAACTTTCGATATCCTCGTCTAGAAATTCGCAACGCTCCCGGCTATATTTGCAAACAGCAAATTTCTTAGCTGCAAAATGGCACTTATCACTTTAAACACGCCATCGATAGATTGTCGTCTAATTTGCAAAACCCTATAGTTCATTGTTATTGCTTTGAAAGTTTTTGCTTCATTTTCGATATCCATCTTCATGTCTCCCGATGCATTAAGATATCGATAGATATGAAACGGCTTAAGATGTAAATCTTTCGCCATTTGGTTTTTTTCGCCACGGGCAATAAGTTGATGTAAGCACGATAATTTTTCTCATCCGGTCTTTAAAATTTTATTTGTGATTGTTTGAAGAGATAGTCTTGAATCACCTATCTACTAGTGCAGTGTTTAAAATCGAAGTACACCTGCGTGAATTTTCCAAGCCGAGAGCTATTTTCGTTTGTTGTTTTGACATTTCCTGAAAAAGGGTACAAATTTCTTGTAGTAAGAAATAACACAAAAAATAAATTTAGAATATTACATTACAGTTGAGTTCTCCCCTAGGTGAAAGAATAAGTTACCCATATTTATAATGTACCCTCTATGCTCGCAGAGCTTTTGAAAGTAAATATTTTGAATTTAATAAATGGTGGGGTACCCTTTTAGCTTAACAACGTCATTTACACTTTTCGACTTATTTCGTATAATTTTTCCTTATATAAAAACACCCAAATATTAATGCCACTGTTTTTTGCGTTCTTGAAGTTATTTAATTTACTTGTCTACTGGACTAATGTTCCTCCTTTTTTATTTTGTATTTTAGTATGTATTTGCTAGTAGTACAAAATACTAAAATAAATTTTTACACTTGGGGAAACGAATAGGTTTAACAAGCGTCTACTTTTTGTCAAGCACAAAAGCCCGATATTAATGAGGCTCGCTGTATGCTGAGCCTATTTTAGGCTTTTAAACTGTATTTGTTTCCTTTGAAGAGTATCTGAAAAAGGCTTCTGCAATTTTCTTAGAACTGTATTTGAATAAATGATATAGTAAAGTAATTTTGTGTTCATGAAAGCCAGAGAATTGATGTATTTTCCTTTTCTCTTTTAATTTTTCCTCTCATTTCACTTCTGCCGCTATTATGTACCTGTTCAGATAAATAAAGTGAACAAGTATTATACGAGATGCATTTAGTTCGTTCACTACAAATGAGGGCATATAGATATATTCAACTAATTCGTAATTTACGTAAGAGGAGTTTAAATTTAATACAAAATTTAATGTATCCAAAAAAGATATGTAATTTAGGAGTTTGCTTTGAAGCGGAAGATTTGGTAAGTTGTATCTATTTATTTGCTTTTTGACCAGAAAATGAGATTTAATAAAGCACCGCGAATATGCAGCTGTAGCAATACATAGCATACATTTGTTAATTATATTCTTACGTAAGACCCATGATTGTGTGGTAATATACTCATATGTTATTTACTTTCTCACATCTGTTTGGACGCTATATAAAAATGTTTTTGTTTTTTTAATTTGTTTAGTGATGTATGATCGAAGAAGACAAGTGAATGGTATCGCTTGCCTTGAAGATAAGCATCACTTTGAAGAGAGTGCGAAAGAAAAATAAGAAAGTTTTGTTGATATAATAAATTTCTGGTTTTTCTTTCTTTTTTTACGCAGTGATTTTAAATTCAACCAGAAAAATTGGACGACAACGTATTGAATTTTTCTTGTGCAACATAAAACGTTAGTCTAAAGGGAAATAACATGAAATGTCGCTAACCCCATGTTCGCTTTGCTAGTATATTTCTTTCAATAAATAGAGAAGTGAATTAATTAAGCACTTACCCTTTGTCCTTTTTCTTCGATTATTAGCCAATTTTATGGTTTAACGGACGTTTCATTAAATTTATAGAGAAAAACTCATTTATTATTTTTCTGCGTTTCGTGACATACTACCCGTGACGCTAACGCTAATTTTGCATGATATTTTTGTTAATAATTATGGTAGGCCCTGTGCACTTTTGAATACGGTGCGGAACGATACGTTTTTGAGAAAACAGCTGTAACATTCCGAATAAGCACTTTCGTCTCTGATCGAAATTGGTCTGCGATCGACATTTGTTAAGCAGGATAAATTTACTATGTATAAAATATTAAGTGCTTTGATTTTTGGAGTATGTTACAGTTGCTTAGAGATTAAAGCATTCGTACAAATGAAACATGTACCCCAATAAGTGTCCGGTGTAGGACGTATATGGTTGATATACCCGTACGACTTCTGGCTAGAATATAACATTCCAACATTTAGTTTTCTGACCACAATGACCCCGCTTTTGTTATTTTCGAAACAATGCATTGTGGTTCCAAATACCACATCTCTAAGCCAAAAGCATTACAGGTTAAAATAACACTGTTTTGAGTACATTGTTAGTGTTTTGCAGTACATTGTTAGTGTTTTAATCGAAAGTGGTTGAATTCCTGAAGAAACGTTAAAAAAAATTAAAGTGAACAAAATCTTTAAATTTAAAGATTCAAACATTATACGTACAAATTTTTGCACAAATATTGAATTCTTTTTAAATTCCACTTTAAACTCAAATTGCTATCAAATTTTAACTGTAGAGGAATTTTGAAAAAAAGTTTTTAATTCACAAATCGCTATATATATATATTTCAAAGCTAAACACTTGAAACCAATCTTGCTTTCTAATGCCTAATATTATTATTAATTAAAATTTCTGCGTTCGTGGATTTTAATGAACAAAACAGTGATGTATTTCCGTAAAAACAAAACGTAATCAGGTGGCCCAGGTTTCAAGCACAATATAAAGTAGTCGTTTACATTTTTATTAAACAGAAAGAAGTAATATCTTAGCCCATCTCCACTCAACACTTCCAAAAAAAAAAAGAAGTATTATAACATTTGCTTTTAAAAAGTCGGTTTGTAATAAATAAAATAAATTCAAAAAATTTGAAAAGTTTCTTTAAAAAAAGTGATTTTATTTTTTGAAGCATTCAAGTCCTGCATATTTTGTATTATACAATTCATGCAGTTACCGTCGCCTTTGTTTTGCACTTTAAGTCTTTTTGACACGTCTTGTTTTCTACTTGATCAAACAGTTGAAGCATAGAATGGCGTATGTAATTCCATTTGCAAATACATCAAGCAATTTCAGATTCGACGACTTGTTGCAAAACGGTAAATTGTATATTAAAAAGATAGAATAATGTTTTGTCACTGTGGAGCATCTGTTGCCAGTTTCCAATAATCAGTAACGAAATTATATTCGGTTGTAACTGAATTTTTTATTCATTTCGCCATCATCCTAAAAAAGACAAAAAAAAAAACATAAAAAAATTTTCATGCCCTATAATATTGCGTGGACGCGGCTGATTCCTTTTATTTTCAAAATAAAAGTTACTGTCTTTTATTTGTGTGAGCGTTGTAGACATGTCCCTGCAAAAGTTGAAGTCACTTTGAACTCTTTTTCAAATTTATAGGCGATATTTTCATTCTCGTTAGAAGAGAATGTTTACCACAAATGCTACAGATTTGCACAAGCAGGCAGATGGACGGACGAACACACGGAAGTGTTCAATTGCTTTCCAAATTTGACACTGGCCAAGAATTTATGTACTTTATGGGGTTTTTGAACACTAGTTCTGCGCCTTATATAGGTATTGAAAAAACAGTTAAATTTTGGTACACTATAACATTGGGTAAGCGCGATCAGTGTTTCTTATTTTTGTGCAAAACTGCTACATATCACCCATAGAATATGTGATTAAATTTTTGTACATTTATTTGCTATAATTTATGAGTAATGAGCAACAAACCAATTTTTTATTCCTTTCAAAGAAGAGAGGTGCTCTCAGTTTACATGATGATGTGGGCGGGTCCTTCGAAAGTTTTAATCAATTTGCAGTACTAATTTGCGTGCAAGGATATCGAATGTTTCTGCCTAATATGAAGTCAACAGTTTCATTTTTACGACCAGTAGAATATTTATAACAGGTACTACGCACACAAACTGACAGACTTGCTTAAATCGGTTTAGAATTTGAAGTTAATCAAGAATATATGTAGTTTCTGGAGTCTCCGGTGCTTCGTTCTGAACGATGCAAACGCTTCGACTAAATGAATATACCTGCCATCTCTCAGTCATGGATATTGAAATAGAATAAAGCAATGTCAAAAAATTGGCTTTTGGCCAAAAAAAAATCTGCTCTTATCTTTTTTTTATTCAACTCAATAAATCAGCTGTTTTTGATTTGCTGAACACCAAAAGAAGAAAAAAAAAGGTATTTGGCATTATAGTGCAACGTAAAGCTACGAATTAAGTTCGACAATGAGACGTTGATTCCCGATAAAAAAAATAACGTTGATAATCAGCCATAGCTTGGAAGATGTTGGGGTGGCTCTTGACTATCACCGGCCGTATAAATTCATACGGATGCCAATTATGCTAAATGCCAGTTTCGTCAGCATTTGGAAATTGTTCCAAAAACGATAAAAAAAAAGTGCACAAAATCGTTTGAAACATGCAAAAATAAATTTGCAACAATTAGTTGGTACCTGAAAGATATCAAAATGCATCCCATTCATCATTTTGCATCAATATCTATTCATGAGAAAAGACTGTCCGAAAAGAACGCTGCGTTTGCCGCTCACTCATAGTTGTTTTGGCGAAACAAAGAAGATTTTTTATGCAATATAAGACAATGGATGAAATAGGGAATTATCACGGAACTCCAGAACCAAAACAACAAGTCGGGGAAAGCTGCGCTCAGCAGCCAAAAATGTAACAGTTGACCGCGAAGGTCACCGCGTCCGCTTTTTCGGAAGCGCATGGTATAATTCTCCATGAGTATCCTGAGAAGGGACAAAGGATAATCACCGAATATTATGTAGCGTTATAAGCGCATTTAAATGAAAAAACTGTAAAGAGATGAAACGTTAGATCGGAGATGAGAGATGTGATATATTATGCACAATGCAGTTTTCGGTTATTTACTGAACAAATGATACCAATCATAAAGTGTGTTCAACATTCAATATACTACTACTTTGATATTTTCGAAATAAATGGAGAGAAAATCTATTAATTTCATATAAAATGTTTTGCAATGTTACGTCGAACGTAATATTTTTCTTATTAGTTTCTTTCACTACAGCGGATAAGTTTTTAGTAAATCGTCATTATGTTCGTCAATAATTATATTATAGATAAATATATGTCGCAAAATTTGTAAACTGGCCTTTCTTTTCTTTTGCAGGTTCCATATTATGCAGAAGAATTATCGGATGATGATTTTTATACAATCAATCTTCTTTCCGACGTGCCACATTTAAAGGAAGCTGTCAAACAAATACTTCTACCTCGTGTAGTGGGCACCAAAGGACACAAAAAGGTGCGCCAATATATTATTAAAAGCCTTTGCGATCTACAGTGGTCGGTAGAATTGCACAAATTTCATGATAAAGTGCCGATTTTAGGGCAACTAGAGTTTCAAAACATTATTGCTACGCTGAATCCAAAGGCTGAGCGTTATTTAATATTAAGTTGTCACTATGACAGTAAATATATGGGGGATTTGCAATTTTTGGGAGCCACCGATGCGGCGGTACCTTGTGCAATGCTTTTGAATTTGGCTAAAGTTCTGAAAACTAACTTAGCTGCTTTCCAGAATACGCCTCTTAGTTTAATGTTGATATTTTTTGATGGTGAGGAGGCTTTCGAGGAATGGTTACCGGAAGATTCTCTCTACGGCTCGCGACGCCTCGCACGGAAATGGGAAACTGAAGGCTTTCTCGATAAAATTGATATGTTAGTCCTTTTAGACCTCTTGGGCTCCTCTGATCCGACTTTTTACAATTTCTTTAGCAACACGGAGTCATTTTATTCGCAACTGTTGTCGTTAGAGCGACGTTTGGCGAAGACAGGGTTTTCAACCTACAGCAGCAATCAAGTACAACCTCACCGTTATTTTCAAGCGCAGACATTGCGATCGGCGTCTCTACAAGATGATCATACACCGTTTTTGAAGCGCGGCGTACCTATTCTACATATTATACCATTACCGTTCCCTTCATTTTGGCATACTGTCGAAGATAACGAATCGGTTATTGATTATGTAACAACCGAAAATTTGGCTCGTATTGTGCGGTTGTTTACTATGCAGTATTTGTTCAGTGGTATTGCCAATAAAATCTAGTAGAATAGCTAAATATAACGATCTCGACATGAGATCTAAATTTAATTTATTTTTGAATTGTAAAAAGAAGCTAATTTTTAATAAATGAATTTTATATTACCAGTATAAAAGACGGTAATATAGCAAGTGTTACAGGATAAAAACTGTGTGAACCAAACCTGTTATTATTATTTTCTTACATACTACGACCAATTTATTAATATATAAATCCATAGGGAATATCAAATAAGCTTCAGATGCTAAATATCAAACGTTTGTCTGTCGGTGCTGAGTTTACATACCATTTCCTTAACCGTTCAGTTACTGTCTTAGTTAATGAAAATCTTGACTTAATCGGCGGCAATAATGGCGGACTCTTCAAAGTGGGGCCTGTAACGCTTTAAAAGTAGGTCATAAGTTTTGATTATATAAGCAATATTTATCAATTAAACCCTTTTATACCCATTACCGAATGATGATAGGTATATTCGTTTTGCCAAAACGTTTACTACGCCCAAAAGGATGCCCCACAATGTTTATATATTCTTGACCAGCACCAAAATCGATTTAAGCATGTCCGTCTGCATCTGTGTGATGTCTGTTGTAAACATTCTCCTGGCAGCAAAAATGAGGCAAAGATGCGCAATGCAAAATTATCGACTTCAAATTTGGCGGAAACATTGGAAGTCGCACGCAGGTTGGCATTGAGAACAGGCTAAATCAGTCGAAGAACGCGCCCACAGTACCACGCACAGTGAGAATATTTCTGTTTTTCGAAAGGAATAAAAAATTGGTGATTTGCTCGTTGCTTATAAACTATAGCAAATAAATGTAAAAAATTTGGACGAATATTTTAAGAGCGATGCCCGTAGCATTTGTGTACAAATACCGGAAAAATCGACCACACCTATCTTGCATTATAGTGTACAGAGATTTAATTTTTTTACAATCCTTCTATAAAATGCAGAAATTAGTTTCAAAAACCCCAAAAAGCATACAAATTTTTGGCCAGTGTCAAATTTGGAACGCAGTTAAACCCGTCCGTGTGTTCGTCTGTTCATCTGTCTGTTTCCGCAGCGTTGTAGTATTTATGGTAAACATTCTCCTGTTAACGAAAATGAAACGATCGCCTACAAATTTGCATAAGAATTTGGAATTGACCTAAACTTTTCAAAGCACACGCCTATAACGCCCATATACCTATAAAACAAAAACATTTGTTTTGAAAATAGAAAAAATGGGCTGCGCCCTCTCCCTATTGCGGAGAACGAAAGTTTTGTTCCTCTGCTTCTTTTGTCTTTGTTAGGACAACGATCATGTGTATAAATGGGTCCCGACCGAATTTAATTCACTTACTTGTTATAATTTCTGACGTATCTCATTTCACATTGTAAATATTCACTTTAATCTGTATTATAATATAAGATAACAGTAATTTTTGTAGTTCCACACTTTTGTCATACTCCTATATATTTTTTCTTAAATATTAACATTTGCCTTTTGTAAGAGAAACGTTCATAACTTCTACGCTAAATTATATTAGTAAATATTGTATAAGTTGATATGAGCGGTAGAGTGAATATTGCAATATGAGTATTTTGATACTCTTAAATTAATAACTACTTACTGTATAACAATAGTAATAATTATTATTATGCTTAAGAGCACAAGTCAAGGTAGGCATTTAATAAAAAATTATGAAACATCCTCTTCTAGAAGGTCGTCGTGAAAAGTTCCTCTCATTATAAGCTGCATTTATGGATTGAGTGAAAAAAAATATTTTTTAACAAACAAAAACTTATTTTACATATGACTTTAAGATTTTTTGGACTTAAGATAAAGTTATAAACAAACGAGTAAGAAAGTTAAATTCGGTTGGGACCGAGTCATCACCATTATTCTAAAAACGACAAAAGAAGTAAAATAACAAAACTTTCTTGTTCTATAATATGGAGTGAGCGAAGCTGATTTCTTCTATTTTTATAATAAAAGTTTTTGTCATATAGGAATATGGGCGTTGAAGGCGTTTTCTTTAAAAAGTATAGGTCAATTCCAAATTCTTTTGCGAATTTGGAGGCGACATCTTCCTCTTCGTAACAGGAGAATGTTTACCAAAAATACTGTAAAGCTGCGCAAGAAGACAGATGGAGAGACGAATAGACGGATGTGTTTAGTGGCAGCCCAAATTTGAAATTGACCGAGAATCTATATTATTTGAGGGGTTTTTGAAACTTATTTCTGCACTTTATAAAGATATTTTAAAAAAAATTAAATTTTGATACGCTATGATACTGGACAGGCGTGGTCAATTTTTGCATTTTTGTGCACACATGCTACAACATCGCTCATACGTTTAAATTTTTATACATTTACTTGCTATAGTTTATGAGCAATGAGCAAATCACCAACTTTTAATTTCTTTTGAAAAACAGAGGTTTTTTCATTTTACGTGGTGCTGTGGACGTGTCCTTCGACTAATTTGGCCGATTCTCAGTACTAACCTGCGTGCGACTTCCAATGTTTCGGTCAAATTTGAAGTCGATAATTTTGCATTCCATATTTTTGCCTCGTTTTTGCTGCCAGGAGAATGTTTATAAACGACATCACACAGACGGGCCGACGGACATGCTTAAATCGATTTCGAATTTGATGCTGATCAAGAATATTTATATTTATATACATTTATATATTTATATATGGGGTCTCTGATATTTTCTTCTGGCCGTTGCGAACGTTTTGAAAAAAGGAATATACCCTCACTTTTCAGTGATGGGTAATAAAAAACAAGGAAGTCTATATACAGCGAAAACATATCACAAAGTTCGAAAAAAAACATCTTTAGTTAGAAATACTTAGTTTTTGTACTTGCTTTCATACATTTATACAATAATTTATCTAATGTAGTGAGTTTATTTATATTATAAAAAGTTGCAATAACACAAATACCACAGAATATAAAGACTGTTCAGACCAACCAAACAACCTTACGAAGATCATGAAAAACGAAATATTATCAGGATGTAACAAACGAACCTAAAACAAATGCTGTTGATATTGTAAGGACTTAGAAAAAGATAATCCAAACAGTATTCACCACGAAACCACTCGAAATGTTGCGTCAACAATTTTCACAGCCGTTTAAGTACACGTTCCCCCAACCATGACAAATTCCCACCATGATTTGCACGCAGTAATAAATTTTGGATTGCCAATTCCTTTATTAGGTTTCGTCCTTACTCTTTGTTTACCATCGAATATATTAAACCTAAACTCATTATAAAGAGATGTTGAGATGATTTTTTTATTTACACTTTTTGCGATATTGAAAATTCCAATAATAGATAGATATATAAAAATGATAAATCATTCAAAAAGCCATATGCATAGTTAATTGAAAAAAAAAGCGTCGCGTATGTTCACTGGGTAGTTTGCTTAGAAGAAAATTTCCATTCAAATTAGTATGAAAGCAGTACGTGAAATAGGAAGATATTAAAATTAATTTTTAAAGTGTGGTACGTATTTTTGCGTTCTGCTTCGACTATTCACACATTAAAGAATTAATTTAAACGAAGTCAAAGGATAGAGTCAATCTGGGTATATGGTTTCAGAACGAATGAATGAAAACATGAAGTTGAGAGAGCACACTGGCCATTAATCACTAAGCATATAAGCATGGTTGACGGCTAACCCTCGTTGTTTCTACGGTTTAATTTTTTATTTTTAGTCTGAATTTTTTATAAAAAACTCTTTAGTTCGTACTACGTACAAGGTGTCAAACAATTTATTAATAAGTGATTGACCTAATTTTCTTAAAAATATATACGATATTTATCGAAAGGAGTGACTCTTGAAATTAGTAGAGGAGGAATATAATAATTTTCAACCCGCTTTTTTGGAATTTCCAAATGTTTTTCCATTTTTGTTTTTAAATTTATAAATTGCCGAGATGTTATAAAATTGCAAATCCTAATTTTCTAAGTGTATATTCATTTACTTATTCATTGTAATTATATTATTATTGTTTTGCGTATCATATTACATCTAAATCAAAAATTTTAAATTAATGAAGTTATAGAACATAAGAATCGAATATATTCTTGAGAATCGGTACCGTTCCGTGTACTATAACTCATGTGTTATATGGAAAGTTGCGAATGTATGTCAAATGTGTGCACATGCATATAAAAAGAGTATGTGCGAAAAGAGTAAGTAAATTAAATAATCATAAGTTATTCCTTCAATATAATTTCTTTTAATTGTAAAAAATTTCTTCATATTCCCATAGAAAATTGTCGCTGAAATTTATGTGAAGCATATGTTGAACATAAAATTCAGATTTCTTCAGTATGAAATGAACCATGAAGCGAAGACTAGTTACATTTGAAACCTACGTCCACTTTGATTTTTTTCGGATATACACAAAACGAACCGCAATCGTTTAAAACTTTGGCCTATAAATATCAAGAAGTATTAATGGCACGCAAACAACTTCATGCTTTGTAATTATTATAAAAGAATTTTTAAACGGCGCGATAGTAAAAATATTATAAATGACCTTATTAAAGAACAACCTTAGCGACTAGAGAAAATTTGTAAAAATGTTTGTAGAAATGTATAGGAGTCCAATAAGTATAGTTGAATATTTAGAGACCAATTTAATAGAGAAATGACCCTGACTGATATAGAAATCAATCAGTGCATTTTTTTTGCAGAAAGGATGTCTTATTTCGTACTTACGCGTTTCCATTTCAGTTTGGTAACAAATTCTTTCCGCCTCATAGAAAAAAAGGGGCCAAAAACTTTCGAAAACATTTGCGCAGCAAAGACCAACTGTCTTGAATGATATGGCAGCTTGTGGCACGTAGCCACATTCCTTCCTTTTTTAAGCATATGCTTCATATACTCTTTTTTCTGGTTTGAAAAAAATGTATACATGAAGAGGTAACCTTAGTCCGTCAAAGGCTGCTATGAAGATTCAAATCAAAAGACAAAGTGGATAGTTTTTATATTAGAAGCAAGGTCGTAAAGCCATACCGACTTGACTCTGTCTTGCCTGTTGTAGTTGGCATTTGCTGTTCAACAATAACATACTTACTCCTAATAGAACAATAAATGCATCCAAAAACAAGGAAAACTCTCCGACTTCCTGATCGTCCAACTCGCGCTCGTCTCTATTGTATGTACGGACGAAATCTGCACGCTAATTAAACCAACTGGATTATATGAATATGCTTTGGTTTGACTGATCGGGACTAATTTTGCCGCAAATTTTTGGCTATTCCGTACAACTTTAGATCAGAGTCTGCTCGAAATATTAATCTATTAGTAATTAATGTTGAGTTTCCTTTTCGTTCAATCTTTTGTGTGGTTTAGATATGCTGGAATGCTTAACTCCATACAACGCGTCTTCTTCTTCTTGAATATTTATTGAGTCAACGAAGCATGATTCGTAGAGTTGTTAAAAAAGGTAATGTGAATGCAAGTTTCGTTTAACATTCCGCAGTTTGGATGAGTTTTCAACACTGCGCCTTCAATATTTTTCAAATATTGCTGCGTTTTTGACAGAACGTTTAATATCGCTTCCTTTTTAACATTCCATTTAATTCAAGTTGACAATTAATTGACGTTATTGGTTAACATTAGATTCTTATGTTTCTTCGCTGACGCTAGTTGATGATTTCACATCTCTTAAAGGTCGGGTCCATCTTTATATATATTTTTATTTATTTCTCCTCAATCGATGAATCAATAATTAAACAAAAATTAGAAGCGACGCCTTTTTGCCGTAGCACTTCTACGGTGCAAACGATTGAAGTGATTACCGGGGACATAATTTTAGTGAAATGCCGTTGGCTTCTGGCAATTGCTAATCGAATACGTGTAGAAATACTAATATTAACGTGGGGCAAGGATTTCACTTTAATTCGAACGACTTTGGTCGAACCTGGGCTGGGTGATGCGAAAGTACAATTTCAGAAAAAACTATATTAAAGCACAATATACTTTGGTATGTATCAATTCTATCAATATAAAAGGAAAAATTGATGAGCACTCTGCGCATCTAATAAGCAAAAATCAAGCATATTAAAGAAGCAATAACATGTCCAAGTTTAAATAAAAGTCGATCGTAGACTAGGACTTGATTGGTGTGATGCATATCAATATAACAAAAAAATCAAAGAGTAATGAAAACAATAAGACATTGAAATATAGCCATATGCTAAAGATAGTACTAATGTTCAAAAGCTTAAAAGTTAGTATATACATTAAGTCTTAATCTAACCGCGCAATAGAAAAGCTGGTTAAATACACTGACAATTTTCATCATTTATAGGCAATAAGTTGCTTTCTTCAGTAAACTAAGTGCAACTGCATACTACAAATATTGGATACAGTATACATAGTTTTTGAGTCATTGAAATGAGCATTGGCATATGTGTGGTTAAATTTATATACTAAAAATTAAATAAAAACATTGGGAATTTACATGAAAAACTGCTAATAATGATCGTAGTCATCATATAGGTTCATTTTCAAAATTTTTGACCACAAATATGTACATGGAATTTTATCTTTTATATGGCAATACTAACATTTTCAAAGAAAATACATTTGCCCTTAATAGTTTACTTTATTTATATTGATAGATTAAATTTTTATGTTATGGGCAAATGTATTTTCTTTGAAATTGTTAGTATTGCCATATATAAGATAAAATTACCTTTTCAAGCCTTAGCAATGTTATAAACAGACGTCAATTGTGACTAATGGGGTACTTTAAAAATGTATATATTAGTAAAAAGAACTGTAGCAGTTTAATAGATTCAAGTTTGTTTATAAAACTTAACATTTTTCAAATCAACATAAAAATCTGTTTTAAACAAAACCAATGCAATAAAAGAATTTCAACTAATTTATTTTAAGTTAAAATGAAGCTAAAGTGTATTAATGCTGCCAAGATATCATTGCTATTATAAGGAAACCCTTGTGTTGACAACACTAAGATGTCAATATTTAGTAATGTGCATCTTAAAAAAAACATTAATAAAAAGCACTGAAGCATTTTAATAGATTCAAATTTGTTTATAAAAGGTAAAATATTTCATCAAAATAAAAATCTACCTTATACAAATATATCATAAGAAAAGAATTTTAACTATTTTATTTTAAGTTGAAATAAAATTAGTGTGTATTAATCCAACTAAGATCGTTTCTGTTATAATGAAAACCTTGTGTTGACAACACTAAGTACAGAGTAATCCGGAAATTTCACAACTTCTGCGCCGGTGCTCAATATATATGTTTTTAATATTGAATGTTCTGGAAGGGCTAAAATCGAACAGGATTTCATATATGTGTTTGTGTAATCGTGTATATATCAAAAGGTTAAGAAAGAAAATACCATGCAAGTAAAAATTCGTTTTTTATTTTTTTTATGTGACAAATATCTTGAATTAAATAAATGAAGGTAATGGCATAATAAAATAATGAACGGTTGCGTCAATTGTTTACCACCGTTAGCACAATTGTATGTCAACGATAGAAGGGTTTTGCAAGGATATTTGGAAATTGAAGTAAGCTATTTGCGTTTCATAATCAATCGTCCGGTACTTAAAGCGACTCACGAAGTCTCAAAAGCAGAATTTGACGTACGAAATAAAAGGAAAACCGCTTCTTGTGTAAATGAAAAATTTAATATCAATTTAAGTGAGACAAGGAATCAAAAAGTAGAAGAACTAGATCAACAAAAGTGGAAACAGAAGCAAATTGTTCAAGTGAAATTTGTCTGGTGGGAAGAACGCAACGAAGACGCCGCAAAAGTTTGCGTTAGGTGTGAGTCACTCACACAGTCACAAGAGCAACTGAGCCAACAGACAAAATACCGTTTTAATAGACAACAGCAATACGTCGCGCAGCAACCTTTGCCAACTAATAAATTGCGTTACCGTATCTGCACGAGCGGCGCGTTATTATTAGCATATCTACGTTCGTGTCAACCTGTCGAAATAATTGTGTCAAACGTTGCCACTACGGAACCCCTGAAACAAGCTAATTTACGCTTGCCTATAGTCCTTCTACGAAAATACGCCGCTTCCCATACGGAAAAGAATAGTTCCGAATATAAAACCAAATTATATGCCCTTTGTTGTAAGACAAGCATTTTAGCAAAAAGTAATAGTGCAACGCGTTCGGTGAAGTCGGAACAATTTCAACTGCGTTTCAGAATGTTGTTTGCGCCAACCGCGGCTTTAGCCGCTAAGCATAGCCTCCAGCAGGATCAATTAACTTCACAGTTGCAGCACCGCCATCATCATCACAACGTACATAAGCACGGCAAGGCATTGGTTCAGGACTCTTCACAAGGTATATGCTTAACCTGAGAGTAATTAATTTATTTTAATCGTTACTTTTAATTTTATCTTTTAACAGGCATGCATTTATTAATTATCCGCTAATCTTTGTTTATCTTTTTTACATGTGTGTGCAAAATTCTCTGTTAATGTATTTCAAATGAGTTTTGCCGGTATATATTAAATTTATACAAAATTATGCAATGCTTTTACCATGGATTTCTCCCTTTCACTTTATTACAATTTGTTTTTATAAGCACACGTAACTACTCAAATGTTCTCTGCTTATTCAACATTTACTTTAACCTCTCAGCTGCTGGAGAGTATTGCTGCAGAGAGTGAAAACTACTTGTTAGGTTTTAAAGTTTAGTCAACATTACATTCATTTGCTTAAATACTCCTTTTATAAGCATAAATACAAAATCGAAAATTGGGCAACAAGATGGGTTAATATATAATGTAATCAATTGTTTCTTATTGTATTTTATATTGTCAAAATAATTATCCTTTATTATGGACCTGCTATTCTTTTATGGGAAAGAAAAGTCAAACACAAATAGTCGGTTTTATATAAGAACAAATAGGAAAATTAAATTCGGTCGGGCAGAATCTTTTATACCCATCACCTTTATCCTAAAGAGACAATAGGAGTGAAAATTTTAGACTATAGATACAAAATTTTCATCCTCTATAATATGGAGTGGGCGTAGGTGATTTTTTCTATTTTCAAAAGAGAGTTTTGCTCATATAGGCATACGGGCGTTGTAGCCGTGCCCTTAGAAAAGTTTAGATCAGTTCCAAATTCTTTTGCAAATTTGTATGCAATATCTTCATTTTCGCTAATGGGAGAATGTTTTCTACAAATAACAAAAAAGTTGCGCAAGCAGACATTTTGAAGCTTGTTTCTAGGCGTTATAAAGGTATTAAAAATATAATTAAATTTTGATGCACTATAATATTGGGTAGGTATGGTAAATTTTTTCCAATTTTGTGCGCAAATGCGACAGCATCGTTCATAGAGTATGCGTTCAAATACTTGGGCATTTATTTGCTATAGTTCATGAGTAATGTACAAAAACCCAATTCTTCATTCCTTTTAAAAAACAGAAGTGTTCTCAGTTAACGTGGTGCTATGAGCGTGTCCTTCAACCGATTTGGCTTAATTTCAATACCAACCTGCATTCAAGGGCTTCCAATGTTTTTACCAAATTTGAAGTCCATAGCTTAATTTTTGCGCCCAGGAGAATGTTTACATAGCCGGGCAGACGGACATGCTTAAATCGATTTAGAAATGGATGGTGATCAAGAATATATACGTTCATGCATTTAATTGATTGTTTATAGTTAAAAAAAGAAAAGGCATGAAATATGACGCTAAATATTCTTGCTTTGTTAAAAATTTAAACACCCATCCAGTTATTAGAAATAGTCAAATTTGTGTACTAACAGGTTATTAGTGCACCTATTTCTTATCAGAATGCTCTTTATGACAATAATATTCTATTTTTCCTTTCCTCCACGTGCGCGATCTTGCGGTTCTTGTTCTTGTTTAAATGTAAAGAAAAGCAGCCGCGATTATAGTGTGCAATTAAAAAGTTATTCAAGTATAGCATTAAGATAGTCATGTACTAGTTCATTAATAAATCTTAGAGTTTCTCATTCAATTTTTGTTTACTCGATACCTTAGTCCAGAATTGCATGTGCGTAGTACCAATTCCGTATGATTTCGGTTTTTCAAAAATGTCTTAAAAAGGTGCCAAAAATTTGTCGTTCTGTCAAAATGGTGTTGACTTAATAAAATTGGTTTCTTTTAAATTTTCCCCAACGATATTACTATCCAACTCTGGACACTTGCGCCTTATTAGCAAGTAAAGCGAGATTTCGAACTGTATGCACAAATCGGAAATTTTTTTTAAGGAGACGTTCGATTTTTCGATCGCTAGAATCAAAACGACTGGTTTGAAGAATTGGATTGTAAATCTGGGAAAAGAGCTTGAACAATCGCATTAAAGTTGAGCTCCTGATATATTTTAAAAAAACAAAAGTCATTTTCTTGAGAAGTATTTGCGCATGTTCTACGAGGTATAGTTACGAACAACGCTTTTATGTGGAAATGGATAACTATATTGCGCAGTATTGGATCGAGGCGTATATACAGACGTAATTATAAATTACAGTCACCTTGAACAGGATTGAACTCACCATCCGTTCAGATTTGGCGGTCAAGATATCGCATATAAACTTTTGAAAATTTAATGGAAATTGGAAATGTGAGAGACCGTATCTTATCAATAATATATAAGATTATATTCTAAACGTGACATGGTATGAAAGCGCAGAATGCTTGTAATTACAATATAAGATGTTTGAAAGTATTGTTCACGCACAGCTATTCGATCGTCTATAAAATGTTGTTGCAGCAGAACATAAAACATGACATACGTGCGTATACGCAGTATAGCATAACAGTTTATTAAGGTTAATATGACACAAGAAACTTCTCCAAATTTTTGTTGAGGCGAACAAACGTACTAGCCCATATATCACGAAAGTACTTCAACGTTCACAACCGAAGCCAGAGCTATCCTTCACGCTGCGAACCTTGCCCATAAAAGCAAACTCAAAACCGTCTTTGTTACTGACAGTTTGTCTGTATTACAAGCTGTTCGGAACCCTTCGACTTCGAGATGGAGCACCATCAATAAATTAAGAAAAATAATTATAACACCCGACGGAAAAATTAAAAAGTTATGGGTACCAAATCACATAGGTTTATTGGGAAATGAGCAGGCTGATCGAGCGGCAAAGGATGCTGCTTCTGCTCCTCTAATTATGGATGATGTCATGGGAATGTTGGATCTTCAAAGATACATTGGAAGAAAAGTTAAAGAGAAATTTGCAGAAGGAAATTTACAATACCATCATCAACACTATTCTTCCATTAACCCCTAATTAACTCCACCTTCATATCCAACAAACGTTGAGAAAACCAAGATCCAAACATTTTCGAAAATTCGCCTTGGTCATACTATCGCAACTCACCACTGGATCTTGAAAAAGTCTTCCTCCCCAATCTGCGGTTGTGGACAAACTCTAACTATAAAGCACATTCTCTGCGACTGCCTTAAGTTTTCTTGGCTAGAAGTATTGCATTTGGAACGACTAACCTTTGGACATTCTAAAATCAGCTTCAGAACCGAATTTAAATTCAATATATTACTTTATTAATACTACTAAGCTCATTATCTAATGTACATTTATTTATATTAGAGCCGATAGCCTGTGCTGCTAGTGCTCAATGTCTTTTTTTTAGTCTAAGAATTTATTTCATTAGTCTAAAATTATAATAATAATAATAATAAGGTTAATATGACACAAGAAACTTCTCCAAATTTGTGTTGAGGCAAACAAACGTACTAGCCCATTTAGAAATATAAATTACCGAGTTGAGGTCGTCAAGCGGCAAATACAAGAAATATAAGATTAACAAAATTATTTTTAGATCCACACTTTGTTTGCGAACACAATATGGGGCTCTTAATACATTTTTTCTTTCTCCATCTCTTTATCTATGCTTTATATTAGTACACAATGTCTACAAATTTTCCGTTACTTGATTGAACTCCAACAAGTAACAGAGGAAATATCAAAATTAGAATAAAATACGGAGAAACTTCTGTATATGAAGCGTAGTGATAAGCATTAAATGCCCTATCAGCAATCTATCCACACGTACAAAGGTTTCTGAAAAGTTTCCGACCCATGTCAGAATAAACATTTGTTTGCAGGCTTCGACTTTAATTAACGTAGTCTACTTTAAGAACGACACACTCAGCTCGACAGTTGTGAAGCATTTCGAAGCCTTTTTTAGAGAAAGGGTTGTCAAGACCCTAAAAATACCTGTCCAGTTCCCACAATGAGCTTATCGCTTGATCTACATCGTCTTTTTTTTTTTTTTTTTTTGGAAAATCCTCTTGAAACTTTTCAAAAAATCGTGGTAGGACATCATATCCAGCTTCTATTCATGCAGGCTTGCCATTGTAGCAATCGGCTTATGAGTATTTATTTATATATGTTTCCACTTTAATTCGACGGGTATCTGGTGCGATTTGGCGAGTTTGGGCGATATAATTTTCAGTGGTTATAGACGTCGCTAAAACTAGCATAAATTTCTCCTCCACAACGTCGAACTCTTCTTTATTATTTGTAGGCATAGTGAGTTTCAAAGGAAGAGAGTTAACGGCAATCCAATGCTCAATTTTTTCCATTTTCGCAGAGAACCTGAGATCAACACTCTGAAACAATTATACAACGACCAAGCACTTCGCTTCCAAAATTACGAAAATGTGTCGTCGCGCGCATATACATATTCCTCATCATTTTTGCACGCTTAAGCTGTGTTTTCATGTTCAGTTCGGAAACCTATCGGGGGGTCTACGTACGAACAGGACTAGACGCGTTAAAATTTGTAGAAATTACCGTGGAAGAAACAATGTAAAATCTATTTGCTATTTTCGATTTTAAAGCCATTGTGTTTCTTTTTCGTGTATTTTGTTTTAGTTTATATTTACTTTTTTTTATACATTGAAGTGGCACTATCTCTTGGGGTTTTTTGTTTTTCACCAAACCGAGCGACATTTTGCCATTGGCCTTCATTTTTTCCACTACTTGTCTATACATATCGAATATTTGTGTGTGCGCATATAAATAACAGATTTGTACGTACAGTGAGTCTAATTAATGTTGGCTTTTTTCGTTCGACAACAAATTAACGGTTGTTAAACTTAGTCGGTTTTCCAAACAAAAATTTTTTATATTACTATTTTGTGCTACTAGGAAATACATAATCCGCCTGAGTGGCCGTGTGGGCAAGAATCTCGACTAGCAACTCAATAGTCGTGGGTTCAAACCTCAAGCGCGGTAGAGTTTTTAACAAAGCCGAAAGCATTTAGATGCTTGTGCTTTAAGATTTTAGTCTTAGAATCTATTCTCTGGCTAAATTTATAATAATAATAACAATAATAATAGAAAATACGTATTAATATATAAAAAAAACTCAAACAAAACATTATTTCAGTAGACAAGTCAATTAAATAACTTCAAGAATTCAAAAAAGAAAACGTCATTAATATTGTGCTTTTTTCATATAAGGAAGAATGCGAAACAAAAAAAGCATATTACCAAAAACTAATTTTTGGTGGGTAATCCTTTTTGTTTAACAATGTCATTAAAACGTTTTGACATATTTTTTAAAATTTTTCTTATGTGGCAAACAGGGATCTTACCCCATTTCTCTTGCTGTCTTTGTTTCCGTTTTTCGACGGATGGGATTGAGTGTGTTCGCACATGGCCGTCCAATTCGTGCCACAAACTTTTAATAGGGTTCATGCCTGGTGAATTGTGGAAGAGGGTGAAGCACTTTGGGGCGGTTATATGAGGACTATTTTTAAGTTAAGCGGAACTTATGCTTAGGGTCGTTACTTTGTAGAATTTAAATGTTTCCAAAATATCAAATTTATCCGCTGTTTCCATCAAATTTTTCTTCAATACCCTTAAATAACCCTTCTTGTTTAGAATGCCGCCCATAAACACCAATTTCCCGGCCATATTATTTCTAATCCATACTCAAACTATGACATCCCCATTGCCATGCTCGCTGTAGGCCGTTGGTACAAGAATTTAATAGGAAGCTGAGACTAGACATTGCGAAAAAACACGTTTCCAAGTTCAACTATTTGCTTATGAGAGCAAATATAACGTTATTCCACAAAGAATTGGACGTTTTCCCTGGTTTTAGGTCGATATCATCTGTGAACTGTAAGCCACAGTTCAGCATAGGTTAGGGCATAATTCTGAAGTGAAGAACATGGCTTACGATTTTCAAATCTGATTTGGTCGTATCGTCTATTTTTAAAATTCTATTTCAATGTTTCAGATTGTGCGCGTTCTAATAACTTCGACACAGATAAACGCGTACAGTAAATTAGACTCTGCTTCTGACTGATCAAAACCCTACGCAGCTTACAAAGTTTTTAATGTATACTTTTATGTGTTACAATCGAGCTTTTCTTATTCTTCGGTGGTTAGTACAAAAAAAAGGAAATGAAAGAAGTTAGAGATATCAACCATAAAAATATTGCTGTGGTGTATTACTAAAACAATAGCGTGTGTCGAGTGCGAAAATTCGAGAGATAAACACACAGATGGAAACAGATACACTCTATTGTTGGAGGATTCGATTAGCAGTGACTCCTTGATCAAAAGTGAAATTTCCATATAGTTATACATATATGTACATATGTATAAATATTTGCTAGTGCGCAAAGAAAATAACTTCAAAGATGAATTAAACAAGTTAAAAGATGAAAAATTAATAAATTAAATCGAAAGAGAAAATATACTGAAAAATAAATTTAATTGTCAAGTTTCACATTTTCTGGAAAAATATTTCATCTCTCTTTAAAAGGCATATCATCTTCCAAAATTTTTTGGTGACTTTTATTCGTATGAAAAAATCTTTGAATACCTGCAATCGGTTTCTTTATATCTATTTTGCTTTTTGAGATGCCCATGACATACTCTTATTTTAATCAAAAGGGGAAATTTTGATTCCCTTTGTCGAACTGGCATAGTCGCAGAAGTAATGGAACGAAAATGCAGGTGGTTCTGGCGAATATTTGCATAGCCATCCTTGGAATCAAAATTCTTGAAAATATAAAAAACTTTTCGGGACTTTCTCGAGGTTGGATTCTAATTTACTTTGGGCTTGTATGTGGACAGCACACAATCATTTTTTAACTCTGGATTTTTAATCGATCAAGGAACGCTTCTGTCTAATTCCACGTTTGTTTCTTTATTTATGCAATTGTTCTAATTCGACAAAAAAGGAGATCATTTTGGTAGAAACACGTATATGCAAAAGGTCGATGGCTCTAGTGTTGTGTGCTACATACATCATAAAGATAATGCATCCTGTACTACATGTATTGTAGGGCATAATAATATATTCCGGATGTGCCATCTACATTTAGAGATAAGCGTCGTTTACACCATGTTTTTCAGATAAACCCTACAATTTCATTGCGATTTTTTCTTTAATTTTTTCCTCAGTTGTGATTTAACATTTACGGCATGTGACTGTCTGTTTGTCTATTGTCTTCCTGTTGTATGTATGTTCTTTTTCTTGTTTTTTCATATATCTCCGCCAAAATTAAAATAACAAAATATGTAAAACTATAATTAAATATAGAACGTATTAAAAATTTGTCGCTATGCTTACAATCTCTATTTCATTGATAGCAGAAGGCGAGAGAAGAAAATGAAAATAATTATATTCGGCTTGATGCGAACATTTTTGTGCCTACCATTTTCTAGTTTTTGTGATTTTTAATAAAGCTTCAAACAAGTTTTATTAAAAATATACAAAGAATTATGTTGTGGCCAGATTATAATGTACAACCTCACATGTAACATAAACTATTTTAAGATTTGCAAACCTCATATAACTTGTTCGAAGAGAATGGGAAAGAAGTAGTTTTTTAGGATCCAGCCCTTTGTGATTTGCAAATTGACAGATAAACTTGAGCTTCGAAAAAGAATGAACAAGAAAAAATATAAGATCAAGTTTGAGGTCGCAAGTGCGATTATAGTATAAAGGCGAACATGACTCGACGTAACGTGCTAATCGTGCTGATCAAGAGTATGATCAGTGTCAACTTTTGTCACATACTTCAAAACTTCCCTTACTCTCTACTCTATAAAAAGAGATCGCTTTTATTGGAAATTAACGAAAGAATTATTAATGCAGTGAGATTATAATGTGATGACAATGCTTAATTTCTCTATAAAGAAAACTGAATGAAATGAAATTGTTTTGTTTTAGTGAAGGCCTTCAGCAGAGCAGACGAATTTTCATTTATTCACAGCGAGTATGAAAATGCATATATTTATTTATCAAGAAGATATTTTTTAAATCCTTAAAAAGCACATTTTCTTAAATCAATTATTTCATAAGATATTCTCTTTTGTGATTTTAGGTGATAAGCCTGTTCGTTTAACTAGCCAAAGCAAATCTGAAGAAATTGTTGAAGCTATGAAAAAGTTGGATGCTAAACTGGTTGCCTATTTGGCAGGTCAAAATGACATTACCACTAAAATCAATAGTTCTACGGTCGAGGACGATAAGCACACTGCGAATTTACAATTAATGCGGCAGCCAACTAATGAACCATTAAGAAACGTTTTATTGGAAGATGAATGTCGTGAGAAGAAACTGGAAATTTTCAAGTCTATTACAGGCGTGAAATTGGAAATGGAGGCTTTAACTTTGCAACCAGAAGGAACTAGACGTATGGAATTGTTGCAGACTGAAATACGGCCTATATTCACGGTAGAGTGCCAACTTTCCAATGAACTAATCCACAACGTGCCGCGCTATGAAATGTTTCATATAATGCAATTTGAATCAGAAAAATTCCAGAGCTTGACACAGTGCACTCGCTTCGGTCAAGAAGCCCAACGTAACGTTCGGTTGCAATTTAATGATAATATCAATGCCAATCTTAACAGTAATGATGATGATGGTAGTCAATTGAATTTTGGTAGCATACATTTTACTGTGTGGTGGCGCGAGCCCGGTACCTGTCTTAATGAAATGTTGGGTATGGGTAATTTAAAACTAGTTGATTTGTATAATGCTTCACTGCTGGAACAGTGCAAACGCATCAGTGTACAGCGCCGTGGCATACATTTGGCCAGTCTCTACTTTAAAATCATATTACAACGTGACTTGAATGCCCAACACAAATTTCAAATTATAGAACGTGGAATTGCTCTACATAAGCAAAAAATCGTCGACAGCGATGAATCGCCTACTGCTGGTAGCAAAGCGGCATCGGAAACGAAACAACAAAACGCGTCTAGCAGCAACCAAGTGTTCTCGACCAACATAGATAAAGCTACCTATTCAGGTGACTATGCTGAGAAATTCTTGTATCTAAAGCAAACGAAAATTCAATGACTAAGAATTAATGTGATGTTCTGCCCCCCTCCTTCCAAAACATTTTTATATATAATCACCACCGAACACTTTGAGTTCTTATTTTTTCACATTGCTCTGGAATGGTTTATTTGCTATCTAATAAACGTTGTTTGGCCGAAGCAACAAGCAATCGAAAAAATCCAAAAAATTTGTTTTCTTTTTTTTTTATTAACTTTTATATCAAGCCTATGAATTTACTCTTTTATATCCATTCGAATTTTCACGAGAAGCTCTTTTGTTCACTTATCTGGGTAATACTAACTAGGCTCGGTTGGCATTGATGCTCGTCAAATTGCCATAATTGAAGCGGCTTATTAACCATAAATTTTCGAAACTGGCATGTAAGGTTGAAGTGCGTTGTGAAATGTCGGAAGTAATTGGAAGCAATCGCACAGCATAACCTCAGAAGAATCAGATGAAAACTAGGCGCATTTTTGAAAAAGCACCTTGCACATCTTTACAGTTTTATTAGAACAAAACGAGCGTTCATAATAATTTAATTAAAAATTCAAATTATTGTCGGGACACATTTAATCTTTACAAAATTTCTATTTTGAAAGAGGAATAATTGATCTCTTTGTGTACGAACGATAAACATAACCCACATGATTATCAGAAACGCACTGTAATATAATGATACAAAATTGTTATATTAATTATATATTTGTGGGTACTTGCACTTAAGCCAAATTATCCTTAAATATTGAATGTTGTTGATCTTTCATTCATAAATATTTTTGTAGCAATATGTCTGTTCAACACCGATGATCCGATGTAACTCCGATATGATCTGTTTTCTCATAAAATTTTTTTTAGTTTCCTTGCGTTTTTTGTATTTACTTTGTTATTTCTACATTAATTGTCATAACCATGCAAGTCAAATCTCAAGCTGATAAAGTACAAATTCGGAATGAGTGAGATGTTATGATTATAATAAAATTGTGGGAATGTTGTTTTTTATTAGAGTAAACGGTGAAGAGTGAAAGAAGTATAACGTAAGGCTCTCAAGTGCACCAGATTAACACTAGAACTACTGATATTTTTCCTATACCTATCTCTAGTAAAATGGGTTAATGTGACACAATATTTTTCAAAATGCATTGAAAATTTTTGTGAAATTTGGCACATCAATTCCTTGACCGATTATGAAGTCAAGGTTAGAAAGTGATTGTGATCTGACCATATACACGCCCACAGCAGATGAAAAATTAGGAGGACCTCAAAAAAACCGAAAATTTTTTCATATTTTCGTGTATAACTTTTAATACTGCCAAAATATTTCCGGAAATCGGCGAACATTTGGGTAACAGGTTTCTCGAAATATCTTCACGGGATCAAAAATTATAGACAAAAGTATGAAAAAATTGTTGATGTTTTTTTAAGGTTGTTGGAGGCGTGTATGCAGACATATCTCAACCAGTTTCGAGCCTTGACTGTCTAATCTATCAAGGAATGCTTACGCCAAATTTCAGCTTCCTATATTTTTGAGTTTATCTTAACTTCACAATGATCGTGTATCAAGCAGATCCATTTTAGTCTAAATAGATGTACGCCATCGTTACCTGGAAAGCTGAATCAAGTAGGGAAAAATTTACTTTAGGTATTGAAAAGTCTTCTCACATAGATAAAAATAGTCAAGATATTTTGCAGTTCGATGTGTCTTGTAATCTTTGAGATTAAAAGTTGGAAAAGCTCAAATTGGCTCACAAAACAGTTCTATTGTTAAACGTTAACTTACAAATTGTAAAGCAGACGTCGCAAAACAATTTAATATTTACCAGCATACATATGAGAATAAAAATTAGCTTGAGAAGATTTTCAAAAGTTTGTAAGTCAATAACGGCATTTTATAAATATTACATACTTTTAACTATAAAAAAATGTACATTCTTTATTATATTGTTCTTGGGAACGAGTAGAAGATGTCAACTGACACCTCGAACACTTTCGTAAATCCCATCTTGCTGAAATTGTACAGACACTTTTAGTGCGATAACGCTGCAATTTAGGACAGTCATTACTTTCGTATCCAAAAAGCGGACGCCGTGAAATGGCTTATTATCTTTTCCTTCGCAATCCCCTTGACAAAGGTATTCCAAAAACGGGCTTCGACAGTGCAATGCGACAAACTAAAGAGATAAATCGAGTTGCAACAAATTAAAAAGTAAATACACAATTCCACGTATATATTTTGTTTAAATAAGCTTTTACTTTAATGAGCCAAAATGTGGAAAATAAGTTCTTTGTAGTCATATTTATGCGACTATACATAAAAGTTTGGGCGCTTAGAAAAAATCGAATTTTTTACATATTAAAAAGAACGCTACAAGGGTTTGTGTGTAGCTACGTACTTGTGACTCTAAGAAAACGTTTACTTATTTATTTATATTATTTGTTCTTTTTATTATTATCATTAGTTGTTACTCAGTTCAGTTTATTATTATAATTATTATTCTATATAACTTATTTGGAAAATTATGAAAGGAAGAATTCACACAGAAAGAAAACTCAAAGGTTATATAGCTATCCTACAAAGTAACAAAAGCAATTGTTCCGGCAAGACAAGATCGCTGTACGCGTTCAAATTTCTAAAGGAAGCCCTCTGTAATAATTAACAGTAAAATATGTAAACATGTTTTCCTAAATATGTGACTTGCAGAATGATGAAAGCCGAACATTATTGCTTGCTTTCTAATAGCATTAACGTATGGGTGGATATGAAATTGATATGATTTATTTTGAGAGAATCAACAATTTGGCCGATGACTATTGAATAGTTACAACTTGGTTGATACCGGTTTAACGTTTACCATCTGTTATTAGCGTTTAAAATTTCGCAAGAATAATGCAAAAAAATAATCTATGACTAGTGAAGGAAAACCAAAAAATTTAGGAAATATTTTCATATTCATAGCTGCTCTAATTAATAATGCTATTTTTATAGTTTCACTTATAATATTTAAGAAGCTTTTAAAATGAAAACTCTTAATCAGATAAGAACAATACATCTGTTCGTTCAGTTATTGTCTTTTCTTGGGGTTTTAAAAATAAATTACGACAGAAAATTAAAAATTTTTGTATGGGTTTTCAACTAACATGTACAGAGGTAGCGCAGAGTAGCCTCCCTAATTTTTTAGTAGAGAGGAATGCATGCGATGATTGTGAGTGACTTAAGAAAAATGGATTTGTTATCATGTTTGTTGTTCTGAATAACATTCTGGAGTTATAGTTGTTATATCAAGAAAGAGACAGAAGATGTGAGCAACTTAAATTCATTAATCGCGAATGCATAAAATTAAAGCAAATCTCACAAAACACACTTCTGAAAATGTTACTAGAGTAATATAATTTCAATACTTTCAGCCGTGCTTTTTCTTTAAATATATATTTCCTAAAAGTATACTACGGCTTTGAAGCATACCATTAAACCGTTTTCTTTCAATAAAATTTTTTTGCAGCTTCCGCACAAAATAATTATATAGAAAAGTATACTACGGCTTTGAAGCATACCATTAAACCGTTTTCTTTTAATAAAATTTTTTTGCAGCTTCCGCACAAAATAATTATATAGAAATTGGATCTTCCAACTTTGACAATGAGACCTCCAAAGTATGTCTACTTAAAGGTTTTATTTATGCCAATGAGATGCGTCAAATGGAATTCAAAGCACAAACGGGGAAGTTTCTCGTTTGTCGTCGTTTTTGGTTAGACGAGCCAGCCACCATTTTAGCGGATGACACCGATCAATTTAACTATCAGGAGGTAGTCACAAATATATATCAAGCTTGGAAATTAATAATTTAACAATTACAGCAATTTTCGGTTGTCAATGATGCGAAATTTTTAAAACGTATGGATAAGCAATACTTACATTTGGAATTATGGCAGCATTTGCGAAAGAACGGCGGCGATGACGACAATGGTAATGAAAGTGGTCTCTTACAACCAGTTGGTGTTGTTCGTATGCCTTTGCATCAATTTTTTATAGCTTATCGTGATGCAGCCATAACTAACCATTTATGTGAAGGAAAAGTGGGTAGAAATTTTATAAACTAAAAAAAGTGTTTTGAATTACTCTATCGTTATAGTTGCCTGTGATTTCCATGGATGCGTGGGCACCGATTGTAAATTGCCAAACTGGTGTGAAGGTCGGCGAATTGAAATGTCTTTTGGCTATAGGCAGTGAGGAGCAAATTAGATATCTTAAACAATTAAGGGGATTCACCCAACAGTTAACACAAACGGAACAATTATTGCCCAAGAATATCAAAGAAGATTTCCCAGCATTGCAACTGGCTTCAACTTCTAACTCCACAGATGGTTCTCTCACATTATCGACAAGACAAATTAAACAAACAGCCGACCTATTAGATATGCTGCAGAAAGCTCTAAAAACCCCGCCGTCCTCCCCAGCTATTACTCCAGTTCGGGCTGGTCCTCCCTTTAAAGCATCCAACCCTAGTTCAAACTTGAAACCATTGCAACAATCTAATGTTAAACTCTTTAAATTTGTTTTGGATATTCAAAGAGCCATTGATTTACCCTTAAATCCTTCAACAGCAGGCAAATCGAAAAAATCGTGTAAACGAAACGGTTCGAGACGTTTTCCGCCAAATGAGCCGCCCAGCTGTTACGTAACATTCCAGGCAGACGAAGGGCAGTATCCAACATATAAATCCCACGAGGGCATGGTTTACGCTACCAATATAATTGAAAAATCCACCCAGCCCCATTGGCAACAACGTTTTCGCTTAGCTACGTCTACGGATTACTTAAACAATGTAAGAATAGTTTCTTCTTTTGCTCTTTCTGCACTAAATTTCTGAAAGTTTATTGAAAAAGTTTCACAAACCCTTTTAAACAATATTATGTTTATTGTCTTATTTATTTTAATTTTTTTTATTTTTATATTAGCTACAAAAGCGTTTCATTGTAAAAGTGTGGAAAAAATCGGCCCTCGACATAGCGCAAGCGCGTTTACAACCTACACCCTTGGAAGATGCGATTATTGGTTTCGCCGCTCTTGACTTTACGTTATTTATGCGGGGCTTGCACATAGCTGGTTACTTTAACATTGTAGATTTTAATGGTCGTATTAATGGTCAATTAGAGATACGTTGCCATCCACTGGAGGAGATGAAACCGACATATATATCGCATATACCCCATTCGCTCCCCGATACTGTTGAAACGTCTTCAGTTGATTCCGTTATAGATCAGTTTGAACAAACCCTGGATCTAGCCCATTTAAGCTTGGGTCAAGCAATAAAAAGAAAGTTTACGGAATTGGAAAGCATTTCATATCGCTTGCGAGCTCGTTTAGGCGATGTTGCTGGTTCAACATTGCCCCATGATTTCGATTTTTCAGCTTTGGATAAGTGGCAGTCTCTGCAACTAGAAGAGATTAACGATAATGATTTAGAGGAATTTGAGCATGACCTCAACCATACACCGATTGATCTAGAGGAGGAGAAAATTGAGCAACAAGAAGCAGGGAAAACTCATAACGAGGAAGCCAAGCGCAGTGAATAGTGTTTGTGGTTACGACAAACCCCTGCCGCTTGTCCTTCTCATTTAAAACATTGCACCCTCTTTATATTAATTTTGCCACTAATACCGTTACATTTACTCTACTATCCCATCCAGCATTATTCATAGCACCGCCATTCCCCTCACCTACTTAGCTCCGAAATACTTATATGTATTTTAGTCAGTGGACAGCATGAATTTAATTCATTTTCATAGTATATGTAGAGAAACTCATAAAACGAAGACATAGATTATTTAAAAATTTAAAAAATATATGAAGGAAAAATTTTTTTTACATTAAAGCTGAATTTCCAAATTGGTTTTTAATTTGTGTTTAATTTGTTTAGCTAGAGTTAAAATTAAACAAAACGGAAGTAAGAAAATAAGTTCGTTTTTTATAAATGGTATTTAACCACTCTTTTTGTCTCGTTTATATATTATGGTACCGATTAGTCATTAGAATTTTACTGCTTATATTACGTGTGTTTACACAAAAGCCTATCGTTATTGTTAGTATTAATTAGATCTATGTTGTATTTATTACTTTTCGCTTTTTTATTATAACTGCAAAGGAGTATGTAATAAATTGGCCCTGAATTGTGACTCAAGTATTTCATGTTATTATTATATTAAAATTATTACCAATATTCTTCAATAATAAATATATATAAAATAGTAACAAAATTTTTGCATCTTTCTGAAGGAATGAAAGCTCATTTGTTCTGAACATTTTTTAATACAAACTATTTGTGCTGCGATTCACCTTCAATGACATCTAGAAGGGCTAGAAAAGTATTTTTGCAAGAAAGGCGTTTTTAAATTGAATTTTTGAATATAAACAACTAGCGTACGTCTCAAATTTTGTGACCGTTGTGAGAAGAATGAACCAATATGTATGTATTCACCACCATCTACGCATTATCAGCTTGATTGAGATTCATTTTTGCAAAGAAGCTTGTATAATTGTGAGTGTATGACGAGTGTTTTTACCAATTTTCTCGCCGATGATATATGTTTGCAAGCTATTTAAAAATATGCATTAATATTAATTAATGTATTAAAGTAATTTTTTTAGCTCGCTGCAGTGGCAAACGAACAACCCTTTTTGCAATTGACGCCGAAAGGAAACAATTTCATGACCTTTTGCGTACAGCCGTTTTCTATGTCGAATTGCCATTGTCGCAAAAATAAAAATAGAAAGCTGAAATTTGCTATAAGTATTTCTTGATCGATTAAGAGTCCCAGGTTAAAAAATGGCTTTGATCTTCTCACACATAAGCCTAAAATAGAGAAGAAATTGAGACAACATCGAAAAAAAAACATTATATATTTATTTTATATTTCGGAAACCTGCTTATCAAATGTGCGCCTTAAAATGTTGGAGCATTACACTTCTTACAACAATTTTTTTGAAAAATGAAATAAATGAATCGTATTGAATGAATGAATGAATAAAAATGTGTAAAATGACTTATTCGGTTCAAAATCCCTGATGCTGATGGACGAAACGAATAATGTATGCCTAGTAACGACCGCATCAAAATATTAGCTTCATGTGTATACTTCAGCCACAAGAATTAAATTGATCTGAACCGTTTTGGGATTATGTAAAGCGTGTTAGTTATTGTTATTGAAACTACTTTTTTTTCTCCTGAATTACAATTTGATGATTACAATCGGTTACTCGCCACATTTGCACATTCTCTTGATTAATTTGTGGTGAGAGTTTCGTAACTATACCTGTAACGATTTCCCCACTTAGATAATGAAAAGAACTTGATCCAATACAAATTAAATGACGGATTTTATATATCTTGTAATGAAAACGATTTTAGTTGTTTCCTTTCCCTGATTTATTTATCTCCGTCCAGGGATCTTACTAGTACATTAATCATTTCTAAGTACTCACTACTAATTATCCCGTACCATAAACAATGCATCGCCGAAACAACAAATAATAATTCGCGTACACGCAGACATCTACAATTTTTAGCAAGCTCAAATTTCTCCTTTGCTCATGGCATTACAGGTTCTCGGCACTTTGGTAGCCTCTCAAATAATTTTATGCATATAAGCGCTGCTCATCACGAGGAGCAGTTTTTGGCGGTGCTGGCGTTTCAAACTCATTCAGATCAGCATCATAGTACAAACTGGCACGATATGGGCGTAATTCCCAAGGAACTTGATCTTCCATGTCAGTGAGCTGAACACCCAAATCTTCCAAAGTTGGAACTTTTTCTAGAACTTCATCGGTAACACATTCAAGTTCTAATCGCTCCATATGTAAATTACCTATGGGTTGATTAGGGCAAATCCACTCCGTTAATTTCGTTTTGAAAATGAAGGTCGGATCAAAACGCATATCGTAACGCAAATAACCCCACCATTTCTCGTCCTTACGCATAAGCCGGTTAAACCAGTCGACCAACTCTGATAATTTATAGCGTTTAGGCCTGTAGGATAAATGGATTGCAGCAAAAAATATTATAAAATATCAGAAAAATTATCAGATCGCATACCCTACAGCCTGATAAATTTTTCCAACTGTATCAGGATCTTTAACAGAGTTGACTATCCCTTGAGCTACATCTGAGACGTAAACTGGCTGTTTGACCGTTCGTTCACCGCTAAACCACAATGGCGTTCCTCGAAGCTGACGACGCCAAACATGAGCGTAATAGCGCAGAAATCTATCTTCAGAACCATATATATCTGCCGGACGTATAACGGTAGCTTTTGGGAATTCTTCAAAGACTGCCTGCTCACCTAAACGCTTGCTGCGTAAAAATTTGCTACCTCCTGATATAATATGGCCTTCGGGCTCCGGATCAACATTTAAAGCGGAAACATGTATTAAACGTTCAACACCCATTTCGCGACAAATTCTAAAAAAATTTAGATTTAGAAACTTGGGAAAAGAAATTACCAAACTAATATTTTATATCCTACCGTGCTATGCGTCTCGCTCCATCTATATGCACATCTTTGAATTTGAAATTTTTCGTTTCGTATTCGCGACCCACCAGGTTTATAACCACATTGGAATACTTGCAAGCCGTACGTATGGCTTTTTCGTCGCGCAAATCATAGAAATGAAACAATACTTGACCCAAATCACCACAAACCTTCAAACGCATTACATCAGATTCGTCACCACGATAAGGCAGGATCATTTGGGTACCCGACTTTCCTAATTTGTTGCATACGTAACGACCCACAAATCCGCTACATCCAAAGACCGTTGCCACAATACCATTAAAACTACTTCGGCCGCCAGTGCCACGTTTCATAGCACCTAAATTCGTGGTCTTGAGAGGGCGTGGCGCATCAGTGGAATAATAACTTGTTCGTGGGTACAATACACCCAGGATTCCGTTAGCAGATTGTTCTTGAGTTTATACATTATATGCAAAATTAAGAATTAGTAATTAAGATCCCTTTTGACAGAAACATTACATAATTTTTGTAGAGAACTTCACGGCAGCTATTATATTATGAAAACTTACTTGCAATACGTACGTTACGAGTTACAATTAATGCAGCCATAATGAGTGAAGAAACTTCAGTGCACTCTCTACAAATGTAACCTTTCCGCTGAAAACCCTTGTGGCAAATTCTAGATTTTGCTCATTTAAACCAAATCGTTACAAAATAGAGACGTCAAATTTTACTAATCAAAAAAACAAAAAAATAAAACAAGCAAGAGGGATGCCGTAATGCTACAATTAGTGAAATCTGCATAGAAAGTCACAACTTGCGAACCAAAGTAGCCGTAGTAATGAAACTAAAAAGTGACAGAAAACTGACGCAATGAAGCGTTAGTGCCATTTCCAAGATAGGACTTAAACTTGGCGAACATTTTATAAAACTTCATAAGAATTCACAAATCATATGATTTTGCATGTGTATATAAAAGAAAACAACGCGCAAGAAGATATATAAGTAATTTATTTTCAATTTAGAAATCACTTATCTAATTTATATTTACTTTACACTAACGTACATCTTCGTACGTAGAGAAATTAAGGTAGCTTTTATTGTGTGGTTTAGAGGTGAAATGCAAAAACAACTGCAAATGGAGCCACAGAAACTTAATTATATATCAAAGTTATTTCTAATCACTGCCATTGATATCAAAGATGAGTTGGAAGAGATAAGAGGCTTTGCGATATAGTTCACCAGCACTATCTTGATATTATGTGATTTGCAGTTTGGGTTTATGCTATGCATTATTTTCTAACAAATGAAAATCAAGCAATAAAGACCACGCATTTTAAGGTTGAAATATGTTCAATAAATTGTTTTATTAGAGAGTGTTAAATAGTAGTTTCCAATTGATGGATGAGCAATATACTTCTTATATCTAGTCAATATTCTTGATCAGTAATCAATAAATAAGCTTGTTTACCTTGATATTAGACTTTTTGTTGCTATTTTTTTGTAAATTTATTGCTTACGTTTTCGTTGGTTTCTTAGTTTTTGGTTCTAAGCCCATATGTTTCTTATTACATTTTCCCTCAAAACAATATGGTAGTGCGGTTACCAGTTGTGTTCAGCTTGAGAGTTTTTAGCTCAAAAACAAAAATGACAGCGCATTGTGTCAGCCTTCTTAGTCTCTCAAGCCTACTTTCGATAAATTTTAAATAATGTAAGATAAATTTGAGATTTACTTACAACCAATGAGTTTTACAGCTTTCTGTTAGAGTCTAACTATCTCTTAAATGTTACTATAAGATTACCTTCTGTTAGCTATTAACTGATAGAAGAAACAAAAGACAACTACTAACGACAACAATCATATGGTTGATGAAATGAAATAGGGAAAATTGTTACAATTTATGAATTGAAAATTGTTTACTCTAAAAATTAAATATATTAAACGATAACAATTAACTGAGACACTACATACACGACTCATTCATTTTGCAGATATCTATAATAAAGTTATTCATTCAAGTGCAAATTCTTATGATACGCTTTTGCATGCACATTTTTTAGCAAAAGCAAATTTATGGTTCATTCACAACAGGCAAACAAGCCAATTACAATCATCTAATTAAAAATTGTAATGTTTCATGTTATTGAATAGTGCATACTTTTATTTCTAGCTAAGAATATTTGTTATAATGTATATATGTTAGTATACTGTTATTTTAAATGAACACACTGAAAACTGTTTTTAATTCAATAGGTATAATATTCAGCGCTTACTGAATGCTATTCATTTCATCGATTGACCTCTTAACTATGTAGGTTATCGTTTTGACAAAACTGAATTTTCAGTGAAAACTGAATACCCTGGCAATTTGTTTGACTTTAGAAGGAATAATTTGGAATATGGTAACTCTAATTCCTATACTATTTATGTTACCACAGAAAGGCGGGCACTATAATTAGACGCGGTTTTGAAATAGTTGGAACGGGGAAATATAAATTTGAACTTTGAAAAATATAATTGCGCGATGAATCCAAAAAAGTATGCTGATCCTTGTTTGGAACGTCATTTTATGGGGCACACGCAATGCGTAACACAGGTACGCTTCAATGCCGACGATGGCAATAAAATCGCAAGCAGCTCACTGGGTAAGCTTTGGGAGATTCGTGGTCAAGTTTAAAATTTTTTCTTTAAAGATACCACGGTTATCTTATGGGATTTAAAACAAACCGCCCGTTGTATACGTTTCTCTGCCCACGTTGAAAGTGTTTATGGTGTTAGCTGGTGTCCAAAATCAAATTTGGTAGCCTCTTGCTCTCATGATCGGACTGTTAAGATTTGGGAACCTAAACTGCGTGGCGTTTCCGAAGAATTTTTGGCGCATTCCAAACCTGTACGTTCGGTAGACTTTCATCCTACCGGTGCTATGGTGGTGACGTCCTCCGATGATAAATCGCTAAAACTATGGCGAGTAACTCAACGCAAATTTCTCACTTCGTTTGTTGGCCACACAAATTGGGTACGCTCTGCTAAGTTTAGTCCAAACGGCCAGTTAGTTGCATCTTGCGGCGATGACAGGTCTTTGCGTATATTTGATATACATTCCGGTGAATGTGTATGCTGTTTTACGGACGAACGTGGCATGGGACGGCAATTAGCTTGGCACCCGGATGGCAATATGGTGGCAGTGGCTTTAAGTTGTAATCGTGTTAAGATATTTGATTTAACCGCACAAGAATTGATACAGTTGTATCAAGTACATAGTGCACCTGTTAACGATTTAGTCTTTCATTCCAATGGCAAATTTATGCTTACTGGCAGTGATGATGAGACTATGAAAATATTGGATTTATTAGAAGGTAGACCTATTTACACTTTAACTGGCCACACTGGTAGAGTGACAACAGTAGCCTTCAATCAAGACGGCTCAAGGTTTGCATCTGCCGGTTCTGATAAACAAGTTAGTTAAAGTTGCCTTACATAAATCATAATTGGTACAAGCCTTTTCATTTTAGTTGCTTGTTTGGAAATCCAATTTGCATACTTATGATTCTTCCCTGTTCGATGAAAATAGACAAAAAGAATTTTTAGCACAACAGCGTCTACCTGATCCCAGCTGGGAAGCGTCCGGTGGAGTGGCCATTTCCACCATCTCCAACCCAAGTGACCAATCTGTATTGATTGGTTTTCGTAAATCTACCGTTTATGAATCCCATGATGAAAACTTTCAGGTGCTTGATTGTCAATATACAATGCAAACAGATTCTTCTCGTACACGGTTGACCAACTCTAAAAGCGACAACAGTGCCACCAATACAACAACTACTACTACATCTAATACTTGCGTCCACAGCAGTTCTTCTATATTGCATTTAGCTGAAAATAAAAGCTCTCTTAATCCTGAGGATGAAACCATCGAAAACGAAAAACCAGACTGTAGCACTGGTAGATATTTTTAAACAAACAAAACAACATTGTTTGAAAGACAAGTTTTAATTAATTATTTTTTGTATGAGAATAAAACTATATTAGCAACTGAGTGTCATGATGCATTTCTCTAAAAAGCACGGAAGCAACGGGTTTTGTGGTGTGTGTCGTTTCGAACAGTTATAAATAGATGACTAGTGTTTTATGAGATATAATAGATTTCTTATGAGATTCAAATATAAATCTCCACGTCTGTCCATTGCCGCTAGAAATAATCTTGTTTACATACCACATATAGCATCTTTAAAAATGGGCGTACGTCGGGAAAATGTCCACATTCGACCAAAAGTTGAGTCGATTTATGAAAATAACTATTAATTCTTTCAAAAATTTGTTGACCAAATTAACCCAATATTTAGGTTTAGAATTAAATATAGGGTCGTGAGTACGTTGTTTGAAAACGGTTTCAATGGATGATACTGTGGAATGTCTCTAGGTTCGAGGCAAAGTCGAAGATTTCTCTTAAAAGTTCTCTTATGCAACAAAGCTAGAAAACCGCATGCATCGAACCCAGCATAATACCTATCTAGATATTGCATCTAAATAAGGTCACCTAAAAGAGGACTTGGCTGCCATTGTTATCCTGTTGCGCCGTTTCAATAACGGTATCACCCATATAGAACAAAGAGTTTTGAGTCGATTTTATTATGTTCTAATTGGCGGCGAATTCGTTTAAAATTACGGTATGCGAAAATAAAACAACTTTTGTTCGTTGACTGCTTTCATGTAAATAAGTGTTTATTTAAATTGGAAACTTTCAAAAAAGATCGTTTTTATCGTTCATGTATTCATTTAAATATAAAGACATATACGTACATAGGGCGTATATATTATATACTAACAAAATTTATTTTAAAATGGTGTACTTTTAATTTTTCTGTGAGATTTAAATTTAAGTATTGTGTGTTCTAATATTTAAAAATATTGTACCCACCACCGAATGTTGTCGACGCCCTAATTTTTCTTCACCGGTTCTATACTCTAAATTAAGAAAAGATCCTTCTTGTTCAAGATAAGTAGCCGAATATTAGAAAGCCAAAACGTATAGCTTGAATATAATTTCTTTCAGAAAATGGATTGTGATCTGATTGTAAACACACGAAATGTGAGCAATCGCAGTCGGACAAAAGCTTTTATCAAATTTAGATCAAATATTCCACTTAGAACTGAAAATCACGCAAATTTTAACTTCGTGGTGATGAGTTCGCGATATTCGCCCCAAGGCGAATATAACTGTGCCTTATTTATACCTATTATTATTTATTAAAAAGTTAATTAACAATAGAACTACCGAGTACATCATTTTTACCTTTTTAATTTTTGATCTTAAAGCAAGCGGTTGTAAACCGTACAATGTCCTGAAATTTTACGTGACAAGACATTTAAATATCTGTAATCACTTTTTTCCTACCCAGTCTAATTTTCGAGATGACGAAGGTATATACCTATTTTTACCAAAAAGGGGTCATGCTGATCTCCCAATTTGTCAACTTGGCACAGTCGTAAAAATGAAGGTAGGAAGCTGAAATTTGGCACAAACATTTCTTAGTCGATTAAGAATCAAATGCTAAAAAATGGTTGCGGTAAGCCCAAATACACGCTCACCATAGATGAGAAACTGGTAGGCGTATATTTCAAGATGTATGCAAGATGTCGGTGGTTCTAGTGTTAGGAAACGAATGCTATAATTATTATTTTGAATTAGTATGAACTACATAAGAAGTTATAAAATATTGGGAAAATAGATTTTTTCTTTGCTAATTCTACGCTAGGTATTTTGATTTTAAAGCATGTATAATTTCTTTACTCCAAATCAAATGTTATCGTCCAAAGCACTGAAAGCTGATCTGTTATTATCCATGCGTGTTACACAAATTTGTTTGATCTTTAATTAAAAATATAGAACAAGTAGTAATAACAACAGTTTTTCGCGTTTTCAAACATGATTGACTTTCTGTCCCCGCTGAATATTAATATTAAATGTAAAAAATGAAAATGGGATTTTTTAATGTATTTAAAATAAAAAGTGGTAATATATAATGAAAACTTAAATACTTGTACAACGGTATAGATTTATTTAAACTTCCAATTTCAATTTAGCAATTTTCCGGAATTTACAGAAGAGCTCATTTCATTCTTTCTGGCCGACATATTGGGTTGCTTTTCCGGTCTTTTTAATAGTATCCAGCAATTCGTCACCGGTTAAATTTGATGTAACCAAAACGGTTTTTTCATCCAAATCAATATTGACTTTTTCCACTCTATCTGTGATTAGAAAAAAATTTTAAAAATTAATTTTTTATCAAGACGTTGACATACTGAACCACAACCCTATCAATCAAGCATAAGTTTAATAAAATTTATAAGATAACAAATGATACAACTTAAGAGAGATAAGTAATGAGACGTTTTGTTAAGAAGTTATTGGAAAAGGTGAAATCAGAGATTCTGAATTACAGCGGATCGTTTGCCATGTAGTAAAAAGCTTAAAAATTTATTTTCATTCCGTAAGTTGCACAATTTTTATGCAATAATTTGTCCTTGATTATGTTTGACTGTCGAGCACGTTGTTCCAATTATGTTGCTTCACGTGTTAAGCGGAGGTATCTACGTTATACTTCGCTAATGTTATAGAAATGCTATAAAGTATATTACATTTTTAACAATAAAATATTTTTGAACAATGACATCTTACGATACCTAATTATGTTACTAAAAAGTATACATATTTAATTTCTACATTTTTTTATCAGAAAATAACGAAGCTAACAAGCCGCAATTATCAAAATACTGAGGCCTACGGCGTACAGATTGTTTTTTAACAAATTTTGATAGATTAAAAAGAAAATTTTACTAAGACTTGTCTTTGAGGAAGATTAAAAAAGCATGAATAAAGTAACTTGCATTATGTAAATGTAAACTAAACAGATTTAATAAGGTGAAAAAGAAAAATGGAATACGATAAAGTCTACTTCTTGTTTCTGTATAGGATTTCATATCTTTATCACGTTTAGTTACGCAGGTATTACATTTAGAATGATACTAAGTATGTCAGCGTAACTTTAACTTATATCTAATCTTTCCATGGCCAATAGACCTGCTCAAATGAACAAAAATGACAACGTTATTCACCGTGAATAAGACAACAGCTAGAATATTTCAAACTCTTTGTTTGGATGTAGGCAAATGCATCTTATCTCCTTTATCTTATAATACAATTTTTGGCAGTGATATAAAAATATATTAGACAAAAAAAAAACACGAAAAAGATTGTCACTTTTTTTCGTTTTAAAAAAATTGTCAACTTTTATATATCTTGTAAGATAGGCTTTTACTTATATATTGAAGATTTTGTCATATGAGAAGAATTGAGAACCACTGATAAAATCGGACTCCTGGAGAATGTATACCTTCCACGTATCAGAGATGTCATACATTTATAGAAATTTACTTTTATATACAATTTCATGTTTATGACACAGGAAACATTCTATCGGTGTCCTTGTTATAACCTATTTTCTTAGCTCGCGAAAAAGCCACCAATTTTATAAATCAATACTTACCACCCAATTTTCCTAGCACCTTCTCTACGGATGCGGCACATCCGCTACACGTCATTTCGACCTTAAATTCATGAACCTTCAAAAAAATGAAAAGTAAGAACGACCCAATTTTTTCTAGTTATAAAAACACCTACGGGCATATTGCTTCTCAGCGACGATCCCTGCGCTTGAACTTGTAAATAAAGTTGCGGTAAGTTCAACAGTTTGAAGCCTTTTATATGTGAATTTAAAAAAAAGTATGAAAAAGCTATAATATTTGAAAATTGAGTAGCAACGAAATTGATTTTTATCCCCAAATAAAATTAAACTAGCCTGCTTTGCTTAATATATATGAATTTACGATTAGCTCAATTCGTTCAATATGAAAAAAACTTGGCTTCACTTCCAGTGCTAGAGAAACCAGATTGTATAATTTTTGAATTTCTTTAAATTTGAAAATATACAATAATTTAGCTACACTTTTTCTTGTTCACAATAACAATTTTTAATCTGTTTAGACAAGCAGGCCTGGTTTTTTTCCGCTTTTCCTAGTTTCAACAAAGCATGTTAATCCCTTTAGAGGAAATACATTTATGAACAACAGTACTATTCAGACGTAGATAATATCTATATTTTATTGGATGAAAGCATAGATACAGATATAGTTGTATCTTGTAGATTATACATTACAAATTATCAATTCATAGTCATGCACGATTAAGTTCATAGTCTGTTCAGGTTTAGCAAACAACATTTTCTGATATACCCTGGTGTTCGAGGGCAGACGGGCTGAAGAAAGATTAGATTTCAGATTTTAAGGTGCGTTTAAAGATCAGAGTCCAAAACCTTGAACGCAAACAGGGACATTCATTCATATTTACTTTTATTAAAAACATATCAAGTACACTTATTAACTGCAGATTGCAATTTATTGCTAGACGTGCAATTTTAAGTAATATACGTTCATAGCACAAAATATGAGTGGCACGATGTAATACTTAATCAGTCTCAATTTAGTGACATAAGATGATGAGAGCCACAACGTAATGATACACGTTATCGTAAAACTAACATAGTCTTCAGTAATCGAGCGAGAGTTGACCCTCACTCCAAGCTTGGAGACCGCATTAACAAATTTAATCTCTATCAGGTTGCGTCAAATTTCTGAAAGTAATAGTGTCGCTTCGTACACTGTGCTACATTATGCACTCTATTTCTATACCTGCGAAAGGTTTCCAAATTATATTGATAGGAACAATGTCTCCGATATCTATGTACGCCATTGCGAACTCTGATTGCACTTCCAACTTCAGCAAGAATGAAAAGCGGTTTAAAAGGACGAACGGTACACGTTTTCATTGATGAGCCTTTGAAAAGTACACGTACATGATGCATTAACTAAACTGCCTTATCATATCATTACATCACCTGTATACAAGCTGCTATCTCAAGTAATTCTACAGGAAGCACCCCAGCCATCCCATATTAACTGAAAAAGCCAAAAGGGACCAGTTTATAAGTATTCCGATTAATATTATAAGG